CTCTTAGAAAGCTCATTTCACAGCTGAAGTGTCATTTACAGACAAAGATTTTTTTTTCATCACAAGCCATGGCCCACGGGACTTGGGTGGATGTCTCAATAGGGCCCGCGGGCCAAAAAGTTTGGAGACCCCAGGGCTAGGCTATTGAGAAAACTGACCTCTATGAACTCACGGAGAATGAGTTCTTAAAGGCTAGGATTGAACCAATCTAAATTTGTTTTCAACTTTTGAGATAATTTAATTCTTGAATATTTTAAATATATCTAATCTTGCGCATTAAAATTTTAATTAATATCATCGAAAAACCTAACAATATAAAAAGTCCTTTTAAATATTATATCAAAAATGTTACAAGATAGATTTTATGAGCTAGGATCCTTGTTTTTTTGAGTCGCTGCTCATTCACTACACAAAGAGAACTCGCTCTTTAAATCAATGCAGAATCATTCTCCCATTTCTATGAGATAGACCTGGGCGAAAAGTGTTTTAAAATACATTATTTAAAATACGAAGCTTTTTTTTTCTAAAATAGAATTTTAATCACACAGTATTTGAAATTACTTTACTTAATTATTTAATTTAATAAGTATTTAAATTTCAAATATAACATACCTTTTCTGTATGTAATTGAAATATTTGGTGATTAAAACTGTATTTGAGAAACACAGGCAACAGTAGTTCACAGAAAGGAGTTTCATGGGGCAACTTGCGCCATAAATATTTTTGAAGGGGGCATATTTTGATGAGGTTATGAATTTTCAAAATGTAAAGTTTCAAATCACAAGACAAATGGAATCAAAGAAAATACTCCAGGATGTGTAATTGTACATAATCTATGAATTTTTAAATTATACTTTTGTTTTCACTATTTTTAAGAAGAGGATAGCAACAAAATATCTTGGACGGGAAGGAAGAACGTTCATGCGCCATCGACCTTTGGGCTATGGGCATCCCTAAAAACAAAATATGTTGTATTTTAAGCAAAGTATTTTAAAATACATTTTTGTCCATGTCTAGTCTGCACATCCCTTTCACTAGTTAAGATCTGATGTGAGGACTATGCAGTTTGAAGTAAAAATTCAATTCTTATACCTAGGGATGACCACATAGTGGAGCGGCGATATTAGCGACGAAAACAAATATATGCGTTCAATAGAACATCACATAGTGGGGATAACAGCAACGCTACTATGAGCGGTGCTAAAATGTATATAAGTGACCACACCAGTGGCGATAAGAGTTTTCCCAAAATTGACGCTTAGCTGCTTATTACTGAAGTGTTTAATCGCTATTCAAAATTTTAATATTTATAACTATATTTTCGCCAGTTTTAAAAAATATTGAGCTCACATTTTGAAGTTCTTCAAGTGGGAAAAATTTCAAGAAGAAAAGTGATGAAGGAAATGAAACTTTATCTGCGAATAACTCAAAAAGTATACATTCTTATTTCATTGTACCCATGATTAATTGAAAGATTACTGAATTACCTATAAAACAAAATCGTTAGCTGAGACACATGTTTAAAACATGAATGAAATTTTATAATAATTTTCTTTAATAGGAAATGATTGCTTCATCTCATGATAAATTGATTTTTTTTATTTTCTTATTCTTCCCTTATATTTGTTCCCTTCACGGGCCAATGTTCTTTGTGAATTATTCGCACGGGCCAACTAGTGTTTAATTATTTCCTAGTGAATTTAATAAAAAAAAAAAAAAAAAAAGAAACAAATAATTTTACATTTTAATTTTTATCAGTTGTCTTAAAAGTTGATTCAATTTCTTTATTACACCTTTCTACTTCGTTTTTTAATTCATATATTTACTATTATTTTATTTCTTCCTTTTGTAATTGGTAAATTATAAAAAACATTGGGCATTGATGTCCATGATGTTTTATGTCCTAAATCTCTATGAAACAAACTAGGTTTATGCATAATTTAAAGTGCATCAGAAAAAATAAATTAATATAAATAAATATATATATATATATATATATATATATATATATATATATATAAATAAAACATCAGAAATTTGTTCTACCAAGTTGATTTCTTTAATTGAAAAAACAATGATGTAAAAACTATCGATTTGTTTAGTAGAATATTATTGATAAAGTACTTCATCTCAAATTTCTATTGTTTTTTCAATTACAAACTACAAATATGTACGCAGTTGAGAATATATATGATGAAACTCTCGCAAAAAATAAAGAGGAAACTTGTAAAAAATTGTACATTACCCTCTCCATAATAACTGGTAAAATGTCTCAAAGAATCCTGCGTAGGGTTTTGATGGGAGAGGCGGAAAGAATACTCATTTTTCAGTTTTTTTTTTAAGAATATCTCTAAAACTATGAGGTTTTCCATTTCCCGAATAAAAAATTAAATAAACTATAAAAAAAAGTTTCAATACTTAAAAGCTCCTCAAATTTTTTATTTTATTTATTTTTTATTATTTTAATGGAATTTACAACTGTATTACATAGAAAATACAATAAGTAAATGTGAAATTGGTAACATGACATGTACAACATGAAGAGAAACTACCCATTGGTAGAACTCAATGCCTCAAAATTTAAAATGTAAATAAAATACATTAAAAAATGGACTGATGACTGATGTACAATTTGAACATTTTTTATCGTTTAAAAAAGAAGATTTATATTTAAAAAATATTTTGTTTATGTTCGTTAATATTAAATATAAAGTTGATAAACTAAAGCTTTCGTCGATATTGCCCCAAAATATATTAAAAATTAAATAACCTGCTATTGCAATTTAATTTATATTTGCATTTGAGTTCTACCAATGGGTAGTTTCTCTTCATGTTGTACATGCCATGTTACAAATTTCTCATTTACTTATTGTATTCTCTATGTAATACAGTTGTAAATTCCATTGAAATAAACAAAAAAAAAAAAAAAAAATTTATATTTGTAAGCCTAATTTTTAAAAACTATTTTAGTAATATAGTTACTTTTGATTATATTTGTTTGATTATATAGATACTTGTGTTCATTGATTTTTTTTTTTAAACGATAAAACATGTTCAAGAAGTATACCATTCAACAGTCTCATTTTTAACGTATTTTATTTACATTTAAAATTTTTAGGTTTCCTGGGCAACATATTTATTTCTATAACATTTCACTGCAACATTAAATTAAAAATACGTTATACAATAATTTTGAAATTGTCGAAACAAATAAATACTTAAAAAATAAATTCTAAATCGAAGAGGAATTTATCTTGGAAGTATTGACTTTATAGTTTATTTAATCTTTGTTTTCTGGAAATGGAAATTCCATCAATTTACTCCCTTTGATATCTCCGTAACGATTGATTTTATAAATAATATAAATATAGACTGGACCATTTTTGTAGAAACGAAAAGTACTTTAATATTGCATTGAACATTTTTTGAGAAAAACCTAATAGTTTTTGAGACATTTTTAATAACAAGTCAGTTTTCAGTCCTTCCTGTTAGGATTAATTAATTGATGTTATTTGTTATTGTATATTCTACCTACAACACTGTTACTGGCAACATTGTCAGATGTGACGTCAGTGATCACAACAATGTATACTCTCTCCATACATACGGATATACATCCGATACATATGGCTTCTATGTTTGTAATGTTCTTCCACAATAAACGCTTCTGTATTGTCTGTGTTTGTTTCATAAAGAAACCCTAACCATTATTAACACTTCCCTCCTCACCCTCAAAACGCGACGTGTAAAATTTCAGCCTTTTTTACTAGTAATTAGGGGAAGGTAATGAACAATTTCTGACTATTTTTTGTAAGTTGGGGTCAATTCCTAATTGTACTCTACTAATAATTATTTTACTCAATTAGAGATGAATCTCAACTTAATCTGTAACAAATCTCAACTTAATTAGTATAGAGTGAAAGCTCATCAAATAAGGTAGTTTTTCTAAAAGTGTAGTATCTTCAGTCCAGCTGGGCGATTATAAATAAAATCTGGAAGAATTCTTGATTTTATAAAAACTGAACTTACCTTAATAATAAATATACTTACTAAATAAATAAACTTTTTTTTTTACTGATCACCCCAGCCATTTTTCTCTGCGAACTTACCGTAGTTTAACTGCTTTAATGTCCTCATTAAATGATTTTCAAAAAGACTAAATTGACATGTATTTAATGTAAATTTTATCTAGTTTACTATTAACTAATGGGTTGTAACCTAAATTAAATATTTTTGTTATTATTTTTCATTTAACAAAAAACGTGATTAACTTAAAAAATACAAAATTAAAGTTTCCAGGTTTTCTGTATGAAATCACTCCCACGGTTTATAGTTTTTTTATTTTTTGTGGGTTTTAAGATCTACTATCACATAGTATCAATTATATCAAATCAATGTCATTCTAAACTTCATATAAATATCACGAACCTCCCCCCATTGAAGGACATCGTATACAATTCTCTTTTCAATGACGTTTTTGAATCATAAAAACAAAGAAACTTTTAATAATCATTTGTACTATCAAAAATGTTATAAAAACGAATTAAACTTCAAAATGGTATCATCTGCTATGAACAACACAAATTTCATGGTTTAGAGCAATTTTTGCTTAAAGTGGAAATACAATGAATATAATCTCATAAATATCTCCGTATCCATAGATTTTTATCAAAAAATGTATAGGATCATTTTTGAAATGTATAGAGATTTTAAAGCACTATAATATTATACTGAACAATATTTGAAAATAGCCTTATAATAGTGTTGAAGATATTCCTTAAAATATAAAAAATATCCGCAAACATATGCGGTCACCTTTAGTGTTGCTCTGCTCGTCGCTCTACTGTGTGGACACTCTAATATGATTTTCTCTGTTCATTTTTACCACTGATGTTTATCACATTGAGAAAACAAGAAATCTGCAGATTACATTCACAAATAAACCTCTTTCCTTACTTCAAAGAATGCGTTCGTGATTGTTTTGTTTTTAGCGCCCCCGGTGCCTTTAAATGTAAAGTTGATTTGACATGAGCATTGACTCTTAGAATCCTAAAATTGTTGTAAAATTGCCCTATCATCTTCTTAATAATGGATCATGACAGAGGCCGGGAATTTAGAAAGAAGAAATATTCAACTCGGGTAGACATTTTTTGTATTATTTTTATGTTAAAACCTTTTTTCATCAATGTTTATAAGAAGTTTTTTGAACCAATATCTTAATTATTCTCTTTTACTAAAGGATACTCAAATTTCATTGTATTGGTTTTTCGGTTTTAGCAATGGCTAAGTATTTTAATTCTCAGATCTTTGCAAACCTCTATTATTGCACAATTATTATAACTTGTTAATATAGACATCATTTTAAAGAAAATTTACTCATATTAGTAAAATGAAGGACTGACTTAATTTTTATTAGGATATACATCCTATATGTCTACATGTCTATCCTACATGTCTTTTTAAGTTGGTTCAGTGATTCAATATTATTATAGGAAAGGGATGATAAACAAATGAAAAGACCCATAATATTGTTGAAATCCAAAGATTCTAATGTGAAAACAGATGAAACTTCATCGGTTCCACAAACTATTTTGCTAAAGACTAGAGATGGAGAAAAAAGAGCTGTTTCACCGCAAGCCGCATCATCGTCTAAGTAATTTAATTTTTAATTGATGATTGAAATCTAATTCATCATTGTTTTATTCATGTTTATAAATATATTTCATTTTAGAACAGGAAAAGAAAGTGATGCTTCACCTGTGTATCACCTCGCTCCAAGAGTTACAGCTCCGGACTGTAAGTAAATAACTTTTTTTTTTCTATTGGCTTTACAGGCCTTGTAAATATTTGGCCATCTGAACCAGCCTTCTCCTTCTCTTGGAATAATTTGAGATATTGCTTTCCTAATTGCTACAGCTCTACTGCATCTTTTTTTATTATATCGATTTATCCAATCCTATCAATACTCTTAAGTTATATAATTAAGAATACTAACTTTATAGAGGATGGGTATACCCCAGGAGGGTCTCCTGACCCCAGCGTCGGTCCACAGCCTATGAAACAGAATAAATAACTGCCATCAGCCAGATTCGAACCCTAGACTTTGGAAGTTAGTGTCCTACCGACTGAGCTATCCCACTCCCAAGATAGTTACTGTAAATAGTTCTTTATTAGTCTTTTGGGTTTGTTCTCTGATCCCAGAATGCTCTGGTTATCTTACGGAGGTCTTTGCTCTGAAATATTTTAATTTTACTTAGGTAAGTAAGAGGGTTGGGTGAGGATTTCCCAGAGGTGCTTTTAAAATAGCACAGGTAGGTAAACAGAATCAGGGGGGAGGATGGGTAACATTATTGTTGGTGGAGTACAAACCATAACATGACGAATGATAAATACAATATTCAAGATAACATATATATAATAGCTAAGTTATTTCTCATAGTTAACAATTTATAAATATTAGCTTGTAATCAAATAAAAATAAATAAGAGATGACAATCAATACAGACCTGAAATAGTTTAAGTGAAGGTATACAATAGTATGATAGTTAATGGTTACAACATAGTCAATTATAAGAAAATGAAATGATAAATAGTACAATATTTTTGATGGTATCTTTTATATTAATTTCTACTTATTTTTATTGAGAATAAATCTTATATATATATATATATATATATATATATATATATATATAATATATATATATATATGTGTATATATATATGATAAACATAGAAATAGTTATATTTTTAAGTTGACATGTAAAAATTAGGCTATTTTTTATGGAATATGTATTACAGATCGTTTCTTTATCTACTTTGTGGTTTACCGAATTATTTTTTTCCAAATTAATAAATATAGCTTCCGAGAGTAGTTGTTTTTGGTGGAGCTCACCACCAACCCGGATGAAAAATATGTTATCCTCTATGGTCATACTTGTCAGGCGCCCTAACTTTGGAGGAAGATTCATTTCGAGCATTGCTCTGTATACCTCTGCTCTGACAGAGTCATAGGCTTGCTGGAAATCAGAAAATATGTGGTGTGTTGTTATTTTGTACTCTCGGGTCTCCTCCAACAGCATTCGGAGTGTGAAAATTTGAAAACTACTTCTTCTAAAACCGCTTTGATATTTTTCCATCTCCCTCTCAGCATATGGAAGTAACCGGTTGAACAAGACAATGAACAAAATCTTGTAAGCACAAGGAAGTAAGGATATTCCCTAGTAATTATTACAAGACAGAGTATCTCCTTTCTTGTATATTGGGCAAATCACTATCTTCTTCAATTTCACAGGCAACCTCTCCTCAGTCCAGATATCATGCAGAAACAAAGAAATTGCACCAGTTTTTGTTCATTATGCTTCAGCAGCTCTGCTGGGATATTGTCAATACCAGGGGCTTTATCGTTCTTGAGTTTGATAAGAGCATCTTGAATTTCCTCTTCATCTGGGGGGTCCAAGTGATCTGCTTTCTGCGCTTCATCCCTGGCAAACCATCTGAAGTCCTCTTCAGCATTACCTCGATTGAGCGAACCTTCAAAGTGACCTGGCCACCTATCCAATATGCCTTTCCTGTCAGCGATCAGATATCCATCCTCCGTTTTGCAGGTAATAGTTCTGGCTTGAACGGTTTTTGTCCTTCATTGACTTGTTGGAAGAATTTTCGGCAGTTCTTTTCTTGATAGGATTTTTCTATGTCTTCAAGCAATTCATTCTCTCATTGCCTTTTCTTTCTCCTTCGAAGGTGGACTTCGTAATGTCGCAAAGCTCGGTATTCCTCCGCAGATCTTCTTGTTCGTTGGCCCTGTATCATTCTTTTATACGCTTCATTCTTCCTACTGTTTATGATTTTACACTCATCATCAAACCATCGGTGGCACCTAAAATTTGCTTCTGTGCTCAGCGCTTCCAATGCAGTTGTTGCCAGAGCTTTATGGCAATGATCCTATACTTTTTATCGACATCTTAAGGATAATTCCTTCTAATTTCTGCTTAAGTCGTGAGGAAAACTCTGCACAATGTTCAGCATCCTTTAGCTTGGAGGATTCAAATCGTTTAGCCATAATTAAATGTCTAATTTTGGCGATCAATATTTATGCTCTAATGAATTAGTTTAGGAAACTTAAAAATAGCATTTTTTAAACTTTTATTTAAAAAAAAATCACATAAAGAATATAAATGATCAGGGCATATAGCTTGAAACTGATTGTTAAAGTATCTCTACAGAGCTATAAATTCTATATCATTTCATAAGGGACCACAGGAATCTGATGGATTGAGAGAATAAACAAAAGTGTAATAGAACTAAAAGCAGTGAGTTGCCAAGTACTAGAAATAAGCTGGTTCAGTTGGAAATCTTATTAGTCTGTAAAATAAAAAACATAAAATATTTAAATAAAGTGCTAATTTCCTAATTTATTTTTACTTGAATTATAGTTGCAATAATATTCCTTCTAATGTTTTATTTCTTTTTTTTTCTAGTGGCATCTTTATTGCCAGCCACATCAGAAATGAAATCAAGTGTAAAATTAATTGCTCCCGACACTTTATCTGTATCAGATTCCCTTTTGGATTATTTGACCGATTCTACTGACTTCTTAGTTATTGGTTGTCTTGGCTATCAAAGTGTTGGAAAATCCACCATTATGTCAAAATTAGCTAACCTGCAAACAAAGTAAATAATAAGCTCTTATATTTTATGTTGTAAGGTTTATTTGATTTCTTGCAATATTATTCTTAAAAGTAATAAATAAAGTAAATTGGTGTAAATATGGCTAATAATAAATTAACTTGAAAATAATAGTATGCACCGAAGAAGAATTGAGTAATATTGTGAAAATAAAGTAACTTTGATGCTTCGTGAGATATTTAAGCTTACAGTCCACAATATTACTGCAATAAAAAAAAAATTACTACATTTGAGATGCATATTTTATTAAAGTTGATACCTTTCACTGAATGGGCCATAGTTTCCCAAATTCTTGGGTTTTTGCATAGGTAAGTAGCAGTGATATCCTACTGGAAATATTTTAATCTGATGGACAATTTTCTATATTTTCACCTTCACAGAAATGTATGCCTCCAAACCTTCATTGAATGTTATTTTTCAACATCAATACATAAGTTGTTCTCAATTGTTCAATTAAAAAAAAGTTTTACAAATATTATTACTACTTTTTTAGTCATTTAATTATATGGAGTTTTATTAAAGTAATATCTGGGTTTTCTTGAAGGTCTGCTATGTTGTGATTCAAGTATTATATGTACTCTTATAATTATAAAATATTTAATATAAACAATAACTTTAATCTTATATGCAGTTATTCTTTAAACATGGTCCAGAAATTCACATTTTATACCTTATTTTTATTTAGTGTCCCCAGATACAAAAACATTCATCAATATCTCAAAACTGGACTTGACACTTTAAGGAGCAGTATTTTTTAAATAACTATTTTGATCTCTTCTGTAATTTTTTTTATAGCTTCTGGATTGTCATGTTTTAGGGAAGCTGTCTTTCATATTTCTTCACACCCTGAAGAAAGCCTTCCTGGAACAGAAGGAATTGATGCATTAGTTACCCCAGACAGGATCATCTTTCTGGACACCGAGCCACTCCTTTCCTTTGCACTTCTAAGCAGAAAGTCGGAGGATGAAGTGGAAAATGAATTAGAAATTTTATCTCTTGAGTATGCTGGGCTGTTGTTGTCTGTTTGCCATATTGTTTTACTGATTCAAGATAGTGAATTAGACACTGACCTTATCAGGTGATTGTTTTATTTTCATATTTTAAGGACTTTAGTTTAGGGTGATATATAGTCTTTTTAAGATTTTTATTGTTGCCGACGTTCAACCCAAGTATGAAAGTCATCATCAGGGCATGATACCAGCCATTTGAGGGACGGGAGTGGCTGAACACTGTACTGCGCCGTTGCCTGGCAACCGAAGTTATTAATGATAAAATAGTTACGAGTTCGCATCCTACCGAGAGGGACTTTTAACTATGGCACTAATTCCCCACCCTATCCCCCGGCTCGAGAGGAACCCCTTATAGCCTAAAAGGCAAGGAAGGGGAGAAAAAATTATATATATTACAAGCCATTTATTTATTTATATGTAGAACAGTCGACTAACTTCCTTTAATAACTTTGGAAAAGTATTTTTTAAATTGTGTCGGATTGGGCTTAGACATTGCAGTAGCCTCTTATCTGATCCGTTTTATCTCATTCGTTTAAGTTCCAAATTCATATGTATCGTGCGAGAGTCTAGGAATTGATTTCCTAGGTTAATTAAAAATCGATCAAAAATATCCATATGGTTATGCAATACTCTATAGTCCATGATTATTTGTTCATCACAATAATCTTCTATGTTACCTTTTTCTAAGGTATTGCAACAATAGGAATATCATCTTTTTCCCAGTGGACCTAATGTTCTATATGTAATCGACTCATGTGCCTCAGAGCACAGATTACTTCTGGTACTAATTTTTTTTCTGGTATTAATTAGAAGTTGTTTCTATGACAAATTGTATTTTTAATTGAATGATAAATTTATTGCAAATACTCTGGATAACTTTTTTTTTAATCAAATAAGAAGCCTTTTTTTTTGCTTATATATAAATGTTGCCTTTTCGGGATTGAGCACTCTTTCTTATAGCTGTAACTAATTTGAAAGTTCTCTCACAATGTATTTAATCTTGAAGTGGATCCATGTTCAGACTGTTTTTTTAAACTGATACCTAAGACTGATTTGAGGATTAATCTCTTTCCTCTTCGCTCACTGTCCTATATGGTTTAAAGGCAGATTTCTTTAAGTATTTCCAATCCCCTCTCTCTATTTTTTTTTCATCTTTGTCCAAAATATCCTTCACACAGCAAGAAGGAAGAAGTTGAGGAAACCATATTTATGGCATCTCTTGTAAAGGAGCAATTAAACTTCTTTAGCCGCATTTTGCACTTTTTTGTGAAGAATGAATTAGATTGATCCGTCAGATTTCCAAAGTCTTAATGCTTGGATAAAGTCGACTAAATGAAATATTTTTACATATGAATTAAAATATCTCATAAACTACATTTCGGGCCTGCATACTGTAAGCGAGGAAATTGTTCAGCATTTTATCCTCATTGATTTAGCTATTGTTCAAAACTGTATCTTAACGCTTTGTCATGTTAGAGAAGCAAAAAGGGAAAAATAATGCCAAAAACCAAATGATGAGGAGGTTTATTGAAGGTAATGGATTAAAATATCTCAGAAACTAAAAATCGGATCTGCATACTGTAAGCAAGGGAATTGTTCAGCATTTCATCTTCTCTGTAATGTGCTATTATTAAAAAAATTGTATCTTAACGCTACACCGTGAGGTGAAAAGAGGTGAAAAGGAAAAAATAGTGCTAAAAAATAGCCTGTTTTATGGAAGATATGGATTAAAAAATCTCATAAACTAAAAATTGTACCTGTATTCCTTAAGCGAGGGAAATGTTCAGCATTTCTTTCCCTTTATTATGAGTTATTATTTATAGTTTACATTATTAGTCTGAACTTGTTGTTGTTTTCACTTCTATTGTGTGGTCTAAAGCACACATCTTAGTTTTTTTCAATTTAAGCCAGTTCAGAATTTTTGGAGTATTAAGACTACCAAAGTTTGGATTACGGACATTGTATTATATAAATATACATGCCTCTGTGTTTATACATGTATGAAGATACTTAAATATATTTTTTAATCCAGATTTCTCCATGTAGCAGAGATGTTAAAACCATCAGTTGGTCTTCAGGCAGATGATGAAACTAGTTTAGATTACTTTCCATATCTAGTTTTTCTTCATAATAAAACTGATCTCAAAGCTTTCAGTCGTCATAATATCAAATTTTTACAGGTAAATTAATTGAATATTCCACATTTAATATCGGAAACTGTCAGATATTATCTTGGTGTTTTTATGTTAAAGGAACGTTACAAAGCGACCTTTACTAGTTCACAGTTGCCCATCACGAGTGGCATAGGAATAGGAACTGGGTCTATCTTGAGATCCCTTACGCCAGAGCTCTGTGGTGACCCAGTGAATTTGTTTTTATTGCCACATTATGACGTGGGAAGTAAGTATCAATGCATGATTTGAGTAAAATTTCTTATGTAATATTTCATGGTTAGGGAGTGAGGTGCTCCAATATGTAAAGTATTGGATCATCAACCTCAGGACTCTGGTTGAAGTCCAGTTGTATAAGAACATTAATTTTTTGTTCTACCAACTCTGGGTTTGGAGATAAAAAAACCTGTCAATTAAACAGGTGAAAACCTCACCTCATCACATATATCAACAATATATGCATTATTCTTATTCAAAATGCATAAGAATCAAACCAAAAATATCTGGTTCTGTGAATTTATTCTTATTCCTGATACGTGACCAGTTTAGAAAAAAACATTATATTTGGCAGGTAGCTATAATATGAGTATAATATCAAAACAAATTGGACCAACTGATTTAGCAATGTGGGATAACATTTGTTTCTGAGGCAAAGTCGATAAAAATTTGTATTTAATAGTTTTAAAAGACACTAAAAATGAATTTTAAGTTATTTTTTCATAACAATAATTTTCTTGACCAGAATATAGGGCCCAACTAAAGTAGGAATTTATTACCGCATAAAAACCTATACAGAACTTAAGGACCTATGTGGGGAACCTGACATAGTTTCCTGCATTAAAAAGGGAACAATAACATGACGGCCATGTTTATCGGATGGATCAACAGGAATAGGCAGGCCAAGACTACGATGGACAGATCATGTAGAGGAAGACCTAAAGTCACTGTGTGTGAGTTTTTGTAGTTGTGAATTGACTCATTTGATACTATCATTAATGCTTTTTATTTATTCTGCACAAAAAAAATAAATTGATTGCTATATTAAAACTGAAAAAAAGCAAAGGCAAACCAATATTTTTTTTTTTAAATTGTAATAAATAATTTTATTCTCGGCTCCTTAGGTCAATTGGACACCGGTGCAATATTTTTCAATGTAGTCACCAAAATATTTCGATTAAAATTGTTGATCCACAGACTGTGAACTCCCCTTATAAGAGTAGAATACTTTTACTGACGTAATTATAAAATTATTATTTATATCTTTTAGAAGACACAGAAAAAATACTGGTACTGACAGATTGTTGACAGATAGGAGATTAAGGAAAAGCAAAAGATATGAAATGTAGAAAAAGAGTGGTTTTGTAAACTTAATGTAGAGTACTTCTGATTGGTGATTGTGTGAAAGTGTTGACCTAAAATATCTGGATAGTAGATTAAAATAAATAGAAAGAAAATAATTCTGAACAATATGATAATATAAGAGATGTGGGTGTGGAGGACAGAATAGAGAATGAGGTCCGTTCACTGAGAACAGGACATGAAAAAAAAACTACCAACTGGGACAACAGAGGCATCAAGAGTGGTGGATAAAAAGGCAAATTTTTTTCAGTAATAATAATTATTTTTTTATTTTTAGGTGATACAAGAGGTTTCAGTTGGAATATACAGTATGATGAGTTATTGAAAAAGATGAGACTACAACTTTTAAGTTTACCTCCAATGCCTTTCACTCATACAGTTTTGTCTGAGAAAAATTGGTTTGTTTTTAATTTATTTTAGTTAGAATATATTCTGATATCACTAGTTTACTTACAGATAGTAGTATGAGAAGAACTTCTCTCTCTATTTCACATTATTTTACTTGTGATGATGTAACACCTAAAACAAGGCATCTCAATAGATGTCTCTGAACTAAAGCCGGTGAAAGGTTTTTTTATTATATTGTAAAATATCACTCATTACTTGTGCCTCTGTTTTCACAGGTGGCATTACACAGTCAAAATGTGGGAAGATATAAAAAAATCTAACTTCTATACAGAGTACGGCCGCCTCCTGCCATCTCAGACTTCTGCGAAAATGGAACTAGGCGGCAACTCATGATCATAATAATTAAAATTGATTTTTATGATATGTTTTGTAAATTGTAATAAAAGTTTTAATTTATTGATTTAAATTAGTTTTCATTGAGGTATTCTTGAATTCACTGTTTTTCTGTGTTTAGTAAATGTAATTTAATTTTCATTTTTTAAACCATTAAGTTTAGCTGATTTACATTTCATAACTGTTTTATGTATATCCTAAGTTTAATTAAATGTTTTATTTTGTAATATTAATTGTATATTAATTGCAATATAAAGTGTTATAAAAATGGACACAGTGATTGTACCAGTTATTTAATTATTATTTTATTTCCTTGATTATTTTTGTACTTATTTAATTTTGAATTTTCACTGATACTTGTCTATAAGTAAAAGCTAGTGAGGTATATGATTATGATCGGCCAAGCCGAACTTTTATAACAACATAAATCAGGGCCAGAATTAAGGAGCCCTTACTTTGGTACACATTTTACGGGTATCTAAATTTTAAAACACAGTTTCATTATTTGGTCAGTTAAAATTCAGTACTAATTAAAACATCGACGAGTCTTAGTAGAATAAAACTGGTGTTATGAAGTTAGCGGGCAGGTAATTTTGCTGCGGATGAACAACAACACTGATTAGGAAAGTAGGAGCTCTTCAGTTGACAAAATAATATTGTTAGAAAAAATAATGCATTAATATTCAGACTACTTTTATTATTCACATATCTATTATACATCATACTACCAATGATATACACTGTTATTTTTCAGTCTTAAATATGTTTACAAAAAAGAAAAAGAAAATTAATTTTTACAAGAAAGTTATACATAGTTTCTAATATTTTAACCCATTAAAACAATTTCTTTAAATGTACATTATGATTCGGCGAGATGGGACATCATTTTAATTTTTTCTCCCATCCCCTGGTTAAAAAGTTTACTGCCCCACTTACATACTTTTTTAAGATGAGAACAGAAATTTTAAGCCAACTATAGAAACTTAATTCAATTTATATAAGACAGTCACTTGTTGATTCTTAGTTGATAAATCAAATAAGAGATTACAAATGTTTTCCAATTGAAGAATAAATGTACCAGTGAGCCAGCAAACTTCTTTCCCTTAGGCTTTAAACTTATGTACAAAATTAACTCCTTCATCAATTTACAAATGTCGCTTGGCAAATAATAAGCCAAAAGCTAAACAGACACCCAATATACAACATAAGTAAGTAATCACTAGTCATGCTACATATATGTATATAAATATTTATCCAACATTTTAGTAAATCACTCATCCAAGAATATATTAATAATAATAAGTGGATTAGTGACTAAACATATTTTTTTTTATGTTTCAAGAATTATTTTACATGTATGTAGAATTAATTGTATAAAAAAGAATTTCTTAGTATAATAGAATTTTCACATCAGATATACACAAATAGACCTATAAAAAACATCAATTGAATCACTTAAAAGTGGATACAATAAAGAGAGAGGTCCCCAGAGTGCATGGTTGGAATGGTTTTTTTGCTAGGTATAATAATATAGCACCTAAAGTTTGAAACAACAGGCAAATTTAATATTTTTTTTTTAAGGAATTTTTGAATTAAATAAAATAGCAAAAAGCAAAGTTAATAATAATTCATTAAAAAAAGGAACTAATAACCATATTCACAATCCATACTTTTGGGAGAGGTATATACATTGTACTTTCATAATTTTGCAAAAATAAAAGGAACAGAACATTTAATATTTTAACTAGATTCAAATAACTAGTGATTACTTATCAATTAAATGATACAAAAATAAACAAATTTATAAACTCTTAATTACAGAAATTATAAAACAATGGTAACTATAAACAATTACTGCAATAAAAACATTCATTACAAAATTAATTATATTTAAAAAAAAAAAACAATTTATAAAATGCAGAGTGCCCGTAAATATTTTAACAACAAATTAAATCAGAACTAGAGACATTTTTGTGATTTTAAAGTCTGTCTCAGTCTTCTCAATAAAACAACAGAATAAAAAAAAAAAATATTAACTGAGAAATCTTAAACAAACTATCACTCCTTTCATAAAATATATAAATCAAACCTGATTTTCGACTACATTATTTTTGGGAGACAGGTTGGTTATCAAGTGCTTAATTTATTCCATGAGTAATGTCATATATTAAACTACCCATTTTTAAAAGTGTACTGAGTGTACACCAGAAGTACTAGCTAACTGGTTCCTACTTTGACACAACACCCTAGTTTTCCATTTAAAAAAAAAATTAGTATACTAAACCACGACTTAAAACAGATTTTTTTTAGTGTAAAGCTATCCACTGGACTATCTTGTTCCCAGGTGATAGTAAGTTAAACCAAGAAAGTATGCATATGAGAAGGGAAGGATAGATTTTTGGATTGATAGCTTTTAATTTACGAGTACACTTTTTGACTACAAGCAGGCTTATCATATGTTAAATCTTGATGGTGGTCGTGGGAGTAATATTCTGTTTAAGAATAAATATCAGTTAAAAAAATTCAAGTCAATCAGTACGATTAAGATTTTAGAGAAACTTTATAATAGATAGGCCATTTCATGTTCATAAATGAATATAATAAATCAAACAAACTTAATTTTATAAATCAAGTGATAGAGGAAAGATTTAATTAAAAAATATTAAATAGATAACAAGCGATACTGGAACCGAAAAAATCATCTGGTCAGTAATATAAATTTTTCTACATTTTCTTTTTAAGTAAACAATGAAACATATTTAAGTATAAAATTTACAGAAGCTGTTTTTATTCCTTTCTTTTTTTTTTTTTTCTTCTTTACACATATACATAATATACATAAATATATACATAAACAAAGATGAAAATAATTATATTATTTTCTTTAAACACCAATAAATGAACATTTAATTAAGATTGACACACTATACACATTTATCTACCACTTAATTTAAAATAACAATTGCATTATTGGGGAAGCCGATTCAGCAATACCCTTCAAATATGTTTATGCATATTATTGAGAAAATACAATAAATATGTATCAAATTTCATACTCCTTTGCACATTCCTTTAAAGAAATCAAGAGGACTCTAAGCTTGTGACAACAAGAGTGGCCAATGACAATTTAAACCACAAGGGAGCTAACATGTAGAACAAACATTAAGTGCCTCCACAATATATTACATACAAGTTATACAAACAAACCGGATGATAATAATCATCATACCAAACTCTAATCAATAATCGATTCATCTGTTTCATCATTTAGAACAACGTAACATTTAAACAACAAATTCTAATTAGACTTTTTAAATATAAAAACATGCAAACTTTTGGGAAGCAAAGATCATATCATCGCATTTAAATTTAATTTATAATTTTTTTTCTTGCTCATAACAAGCAATTACTCCTACACATTTTCAATTAATAAAATACAATATTTTAATGTCCTGTAATAATATTTCTAAGAAATACTTCGGACTTGACTTTTGGTATCAGCTGATTCCAAATAATTTCTGGGATATATTGGTTTGTCACTAGGTCAATTTTATATCTGGAGTAATCAACCCTTTTTAAGGGTGTCTTAGCACATCACTAAATAAAAGAAGCAAACAAAACCAAATTCCAATAAATCCTCCAATCAAGAAAAAATAAATGAAACACAATGTTTAGCCTAAATTAAAGAAAAATATTTTTTTTTAAATTTAAAGGAGGAAAATTATATTTTACAGGTTATATCAGAAAATAGATTAATGGTCCTATGAGTATTTTTAAGAGACCTTGTCTCTTTACTCGGATACCGTTGAACTCTTATTGATTTCAATCCTTCTGAACCCTGGTGACAGTGACAATGATTTAACCAGGGGAACAATAATTATTTCTAAAAGTTAGAATTAATCACCAGATTGCAAAAATTATATGATTTACCATATTGTTTTCTTGCACAATAATCGAAGCATTTCCAAGCAAAATGATCCAAGTGAAAAAAACAATTAATTTATTATAAAAAAATAAATAAAACAACTATTCAATAACTTAAGCTTTAATAAAAATAAGTATTTTATGAAATTCATTTGTACAAAAAACTTACGCACGACCAAATATCACTTTAAAAAGACAAAGATCACTTAAAGGAATGGACTGTTCCAGAATGATCTACAGCCTTGGTTTTGAATAACAAGACAATATTTGAGGGAGGGAAGCTTAAATCAGAATTCATGCAAAATTGATTGGATCTAGATCACTTTGCTTGGAACTGCTTTAATTCATGCATGTACATTTTTATGTAAATATACTTTTCTTAAAATACATACAAGGTTTACATAATTTTCACAATCAATCATTAATTAAGACAAAAGTGATTAAAAAGTTATCTATAAACATATTGCATAGATATTTTGTAAAATTATGCATCTATTAAAATACAAAGCACTAATTCTTTTAAAAACAATCTCATATAATAATTTTTGTGACTTTAAAAGTACCCACTAGCCGTGAGCAAATTAAAATATATCACTAATTATTATAATACACTAGCTGCAAAACTTTATATAAAATGTTACAATATAATCACAATAAAAAAAAAATAGAATAAAAGAATAAAAGACCTCTAAAACAAACATAATAGGGGTAACATTGAATGTTAACTTATATATGTTAATATTTGAAGTATAACAAACAAAAATGAAACTCTAACCCTCCAGAACCTGCTAAGGTATGATTTATCAAATACAAATAAAATATCTAATCTTCATTATATTATAAATATAGATATATATTAGTTAAGAACCTCCTTAAAAATTAAATTTAAGCAATCGTATCAACATAAAGCTATTATAAAATTTATCAAAATTCAAACTTGTAACCACAGTAAATCTAATTTTAGCTATACAGTCTGTACTCTTTGTCAGCCTTTATTAAGGGCACAAAAATGACATTTCAGTCTGACATGACAGAGCTGCCATGAATATTTTTATTTATGCATTCCATACAATCTAAGACGATACCCAACATATCCCAGTCCTCTATGGTTTCAAATAAAGTTTATTGAGCATTTTTATATTTTTTTTTAATGAAAAAATTGAAAAAAATATACTACATTAAAAATAAGAATACACCTTTATGTATTCATTTAATTATATGCATTAATAAAATATCTCTTACGATTAAAGCCCTGCTTATAAAATATTTTATAACAAAATTCACAAAAATATGAAATTATTAAAAATATTAATATTAGTTTGATTACGATTGCTTGTATGTACAATGTTTTCTTTTATTATCATTATATTACTATTAGGTTCACATGTAGAAAAAAGTAAAAATAGTTTTAAAATTAATGACTATCTAAATACTTGTACATTCCTGATTTCATTTTTTACATAAGTACAATACTTTTTTAAAATTTTGTTGTCACATTTTAGTATTTCAATTAGTTTTGATCCAATAAATGACATAAACAGTATTGCTCCAAAAAAGCGTGAAATAACAAATTCCATTTGAAGGATATTCATGAAAATGTTGAGAAAAGAATTGATACTAAGACTTTAAAAACTATTTTAAAATGTTTGTACTAAAATTGAAAAAAAAAATTAACCAATATTTTGGTTAATAACAATTCTTTTTTTTTTTTGTTTGGATAAAAATAAAAACCAACATAAAACTTCTAGAAAAATAACAAATAATACCAACAGCCATGTTGAGGGAACATTTTTAGTTTCTCAAGGTGGTTCCTGGCTAAATACCAGTAATTAGGTACATATCAGCTGTACCTATTAGGCAAATTGAGCATGAAATGTATTGATAAAACTGTCTTACACTCCAATATTTTGTTCTGCTCCCCTTAATGAAATATGTTCCTTAGTAGTTTGCTGGCGTTGATGATCTTGCTGTAAGTTTTTCAAAAGTTCCTGCTGCCTTTGATGTTCTGCCTGTGATTTTAGTAAGGCAAATATATATTAATATAAATGTTTACACATAATTTAATAAAGATTATATTAATTTCATAGTAAAAAAATACCTTTTAAGATCGCTAACATTTATTTGCATAAATGTTAACACATAATTTAATAAAGACTATATTAATTTCAAAATAAATTAATGCCTATTAAGATCATTAAAACACCACAAATATCCATTTATGTAAATGTTAAGACATAATTTAATATTGACTATAATTAAATAAACTAATAAAAAAATGCCTTTTGAGACCACATAAATGTTTAAATTGTAAACGTGTGACAACATTTGTAAATTATCTGGTAGTTAGATTATATCATGCACAGAGACGTTTATAATAAGAAATAAATTTTCTATTCATGTATAAAAAATTACTGATGTTCAAGTAGAGTAATATCGACCAGAGCTAATTTTGTAGATCTACATTTCATTCCTAAGCATTATTATCATTCTCAGAGACACCTCCTCTTATTTCTAGGCATTAAATATCTGATTAGTTATTTCACTATAAATACCTTGAGATGTGTAAATTGATTCTGATACACATGAGAACTAGTAAGGGGAACTGTTTGCAAGTCTTCTTCAATTTTCTGAATTTGAACCTGAAAAATAAAATAAAACATTAATTAAATAATGACAAATAACAAGTTAGAACTGTAGATAGAATTATTAATAAATCTATTATTTAACAATAAATAATTTATCAATTAATCTAATCTGGCACCAAATACCAAAAACATGGAAAAGGAATTTTTACATATTATTCCAAAATGTGACTCCAACAAATTACGACCTATCACAATATTACCAATAATGAGGAAAGTTTTAGAAAAAATTATTAACAATAGGCTTACACACTATTTACAGACTCAAGGCATAATAAATACAATTTGATTTGGATTCACACCTCAAAAAAGCACTGTAGATACGATTTACAAAATAAAAAAAGAGGTAGCATAAGCATTTAACTCAAAACCAAACCGTCTTATGCTTAAGATAGATATACCTGGAGCATTTGATAATGCCTGGTCGCCAATCATACTTCAAAATCTTCGAAATTATCACTACCCCAAAAACACATTCTTGTTGAAGTCCAACTTTTTTGAAAATAGGGTCATGGAAATTAGAACCAATAATTATAAGATATCAAGAAATCAGACTATTAGCATACCACAAGGCTCGTGTATTTCACCAACCTTGTGGAATATACTAATAAACTCAATCTTTGACATAAAAAATCCTAAAAATGTACAAATATTTTTGTACACTGATGATGTTGTAATACTTGTAACTAGATAGCTCTTCATTCAACTACAAGCACTGACAAACTATACACTAACATTTTGGGGAAAATGGGACAAACGATTGCCGCCAGGCAAATAGGGGAACTGAAAGCAGAAGCTCTAAGAATTACATATGAAGGTGCAATAGTTCCTTCTTAATTAGTAACTTCTTTACGCTGTAACCACCTGGGAATCAGGAACAACTAAGTAAGTAAACCTTAAAAAATTAGAAAGTTTGCAACGATTAATTGGAATTAAAATTACTAGAGCCTTTCACACAATATCATATGATGCTGCCTTTTATAACAACCACTTACCAATCGACTACAGCTTAGTGACACATTCTTACTTTAAAAAATTCATTAGAACAGACTTAACTCGAGAATGGGAGACATTGGCAACTTTCTACAAAAGGATGACCCCTCCACAAATACATACCTCATGCCACGGTACAAAATAGTACCCATTACAAACTGACACAATTTCTGACAGAGCACACACCTTCTAAGAATTACTTTAAAAGATTTCATTTGACAATCACAGATTCATGTAACTGCGACGGACAAACTCCACTGCAATTTATAAGAGCATGCAAGATACGACCTGATAAAAATCTGTGTAATGCAAGGACGAAAAATAGTAAAAAAAAATATTTATACACAATTATAACTGTGTTTGTAGTAAATGTTATTACTTTGTGGATATAGAAAAACAATTTTATATTTCATAATATTAATTCCGCCTTGCTGATGTTTTCACTTCTATTGTGGGTGCTTAAACACCACATTTTTTTTTTCTAACTGTCATTTTCTTCTTTCTTAATTTTACTCCTATTGCGTCTCAATGTAGAGCACCATTGAGAGCCCAGCCATTAGGCATATCTGGGATTATAAACGAAATAAAACGACAGGAATTAATGAGGCATCTTAAAAGACAGTAATCACTGGTAATTGCTAACTTATTTTTTATTTTCATACTTTTGATTCCATCAGTGGCTCTGCAAAATTATTCATATTATTTTAAGTTACGAAATCTCACCATAAAACTATTGACTATAGCCTTTAAATTATCTTTTATAATTAAAAAACTCACCTCGTTTAGTCTTGTCCTATTCTATGCCTACTTCCGAGTTATTCAATTCATTTATTTGTACTATTAATTTATTTGTAATATTTATATAATTATTTATTTTCATTTTTATTATTTTTTTCATGGCATGCTATTAAGGTTTATATTAGTATTATCTTATTTCTACTTTCCTTATTTTTATCCTGACTTATTTATGTATTTATTTTTAGCCCTAATGGTATATCACATGCTTGGGTAAAAACTTTTAATCATCCTCATAATTAACAAATATAGTTAAAAGATTAAATAATTTTTTTTTTCAAAATCAAAATAAAGCTTAGATTCCCAATTTCCAACCAGTTACTAAATAATCAACAAATATTGTTAACTTATACAAAATACAATAAAAAAAGAACAGATAGATTTTAGGGTTGCTTAAATAAAATTTCCTTACCCCTTGCGATTGTATTCTGTTTTCCAGATGTAAATGCCCTCGAAGGACTCCATCTTCGAGGTCTGAATCTGGAGCATCCCATAGGTCAGAGGACTAAAACAAAACAAAAAATATAGTTCAGAGGGCAACTTTTAAGAAAATAGAGATAATACTAATAAGAAATGCACAGAAAATGTAATAATAAAATTGGAGCATGAAAGAAATAAGTTATAATGAAAAATAAAACTTACTGTGCCATCAGGAATCCTCAGTGGATCATCATCTGAAATAGTAAATAAAAATACTATATTTAGATATTAAAAATATTTTAAAGTATTCATTTTGTTATTTATTGTATGAAAGCCATAGATCGTATTGGTAATCACAGAAATCACAAATTGAAGTGCCATGTGATATAGTTTAGGATGCATTCAAATAAATCAAGAAACAATATATACCAAAGTAAAAGAGCATCGAAGATCATTGTATGCAAGTTGATTCAACTTTCTAAACTGCGGCAATAGTTCATAATATTACTAAGTACAGTTTGAGGGGCTGAATTAATAATTAAGGTTTTAGAAATTATTAAAGGTTATAGAATTCCATATTACCTGAAAATTGTAAAAAGCTGGTGCTAGCACTATCCAATATATCTGTACTGAAGAAAAAGTTGGTATCGAGTGAATAAGTGTCGAGTTGACTCCTTGGGTCATTAACAATGACACTTATATTTCCTCTATGTCGCTTTGCTTCAGTTTCCTACAGAATTATCCTTATTATAATTAGTTATTTAGTACAAACTTTGTCACTTAAAGTTACGGAAGTTTAATTAAAAGTTAACCATGTCTAATGAAAAAAATATCAAGAAATTATTTCTAGAAGTATTACTGTTCATGTAATAATATTTAATAGGATTTCAAGAACCACTTAAACACCATTTCATGCAGGTAGTTAGTTTCTTTTTTCAAATTAATTATCGTTTTGTACACACACACACACATATATATATATATATATATATATATATATATATATATATATATATATATAAAAACTTTCAGGCTGAAGCCTCCCAAAATTAAATCCTAGATCCGCTAGTGAGTGGAGTTGGCAATATCTGATTGAGACTGCACAAATCTTGAACTTTAATTTTGAATTTGAATTATTTGAGTCTGAACTAACTGATTCATTCACCGAATATCTGATTTCTGGAAGCTGATCTTCAAAAGTGTGCTTACTGGCCTGACTTCGGGCAACAAGTGATAATTTCAGAATATGTTTAAAGGGGGTTGGGTCCTACCCTTCAGTACACCTCTAATGAATCACCACTTTCACATTTTTTACTTCAAATGCAAGTATTTTGTACTTAAAATACAATGTATTTTGAAATAGTAATTAAAATAATTTTTGCCCAGGTCTTTGTATTAATATATCGTATATATATATATATATATATATATATATTTGATATATTGAGAAAAATTATGGTGTAGTTTAAATCACTTTAATTTCCATAATCAAAATTAAAAATTCTTTACAGTATGTATACAAAACCTTACTATACTACCTTATTAAATGATGTTATCTTGAATAAAAAAAAAGTAAAAGAAAATGAATAAAAGGATAGATTAATCTAAGTTCCAATAATTTACCTCAACACTTTCTGGACTACGTTTCATTCTTTCAGTGGCAGAAACTGATTTTATAACTGAAGGACGATCATATTTCCCAGCCAAATTAGACATTTTCACCCCTAGGTCTTGATTCAGAACCTGAAATGATGTTATATTCATTAATTAATAAATTTAAAACAAAAGAATAAAATTAGGAGAAATATATAGAGCTTAAGCATAGATAGTCAATATACTTCTATTAAAAGAAGGTATAACTAGTTTGAAAATCACATAACTCCATAGCTTTGGCTTATAACCTGAACTATCAACAATTTACAGAGATGATAATAAAACAGTAGAATTGTTCTTTAACTTTCTAAAACTATATAACATGTTAACTGAAATATGAAACACAACTGACGTTAAATTCCGAAAAAAAATACAAATAAAAATCCAGTGTATCCACCCACATAACTTTCCTACCTATTTCATAAAAGTTTTTATGTAATTTGTCCATTTAGAAACAAAAAAAAAATTGAATTAGATTTATTTTCCAGAAAATTGATCAAATTTAATTTGATTACGATTTCTTTGATAAACTAAAGCAATTTAAACCGGCTTGTGGTAGATAAGTGCAAAAATTTCAATATCCACTAATATGCTAATCAAAAACTTTTTGCCATAGCCTAATTTTGTCAAAAAATAATTTCTGTTAAAAGAAGAGAAAATAGTGAAGCTTGTGTGATGCGGACATCAGGTTTTCTTACTTTCAGTTAGTTTTCTTTTTTATCTCTCATTCACCCCTTTCTAACACCAGGATATGAATCCGTAATCTTACATGCAAAATTGAATAGCTATAACTTCGTTAATATTTGTCCAAAATGAACGATTTTTATACAGTTTTGTAAGAGATTTCATTACCTTGAAAAAAAAAAAACAGACTAAACAGGTTATTTTTTGTACTCAGGAGGCTCTGAAAAGTATAGATCCATCGAAAACCGCGTATCAGAAATTTGACCCAATCGCAATACTTTCCTTACCTAGTATAGGTAGGAAAGTAATAAAATAAAACATGTGTAGAAAATAGTATACGCTGTATCATCACTAATACTGGTTTGATTCCGATGATTTTTTTTGTTTTATTGGTAATTTAATTACCTTTCAAGAGTTATATTATAAATTTGACCATAGAATATATACTTGGCAAGGCAGCCCAAAACATTTTTCTTTTCTTTATAGCTTTTTTTCCTGAATTTTCTCGGGAATTTAGTACATGTACAAAAATTGAAAGGACGATTATTAGAATACTGCAGCTTCATTGACTGCCAGTGTTCTAATAAAATTTAAATCTTAGCTCTTCTCTTCAGGGAATATCACACCAATAGACAGAAAGGCAATAGTAATGAATAGAAAAATTTTTGATTTATAAATCATATGCATGTGGCAGACAGAAGAGGTTGCAATGATATAGATATGATAAACTTATTGATGTAATACATACATATATTCTACAACAGAGATTCCAGAACCTAATTTACAAACCCTAATCTTATGTAATACTACTAATATTTGTTATTTAAGTGGTTGATTCATACAGCAAAAGACATCATTACAATAAAACCTGGAAACAAACTAATGACATTTAAAATTAATAATTTGAAATATTATTAATCAGCTCATAAGATATTACCTCAACAGAAGGTATATCCTGAGAAGGCCTTTTTGTTTTAGCTTCACAAGTGACAGAAGTATCTTGGCGAATATCAGGAGGTAAGCCTGATAGCATAAGTTCAACAGCCAGCTTGATCCCTTTAGGATTTGGTGTCAATGGAAGTTCTTCAATGTCGTTTGTGGAAACGGGACTTCCATTCTAAAAGAATAAAATAAATAATCAGAGCACTATAAATTTAGATGCAAATATTAATCTTTATAAGTGAACAAGTTAAACATAATCATTATGGTCGTAAATGTGAAAACAAACTTGAAACCGAATAACAATAAAATAACTATCAAATGAATTATTTCTATAAATTAAAACTGACAATATAAATAAAATAAAATATTTTAAAGTAATTCTTACCATGCTGGTTTCAACAAGAGCTGTAACAGCTGGTTCTGCCAATTCTGATTTATAAATCATTGGTGTATAAATTGATTTCATTTCAGCAATATATTTTTCACCATCTTCAGGGCTAAAAAGATCAATGCCAGAAGTTAATGGAAAAATTGGATAAAAAATGTTTAGTGAGAAGATAAATAAAACAATGAAATTTTATATCATGGTATGCAAAAATTGAAAAATTAGAGGCAGTTGGAGATCAACAGAATTAAAGCTATATTTCACCATATTCAAGCTGAAAGTGATACAAGTTCAATTCCAGCTAGAGACAGTAATAATATATTTTGCGATGGACCATGGGGAAAAAACCTGTAGCCTTAGCAAGTCTGTTGGAAAACCTTCAGGTACAAATGGAGGAGGATTTCATCAAGCTGACAAATATTATCGGGGAGGATAAAAATGAAAAATGTATCCAGTAGGGACGACCTTGAGGTAATACTTTCACACATACCGAGCATATTTAGAAGCAAAATGGATCAGCCCAGATTCCTGGATATAAAATTTTCTTATAGGGCATGGGTGTTTTCTAGATAAGCCTCATGGCCTTAAATAAGCTCCTCAGCTATGGCATCCGGGAGATGGCAACTCATCAAAAACCGCTTCTCCTTTTGGTTAGTTGATCAAATCACTGAGGTCACTATAAAAGGAAGCTAGTCGACTGTTCTATATATCATGGATGATAAATATTCAGGAAGCAGTATTTAAAAAAAAAAAAGTTTAATTTTTTATTTGTGCCAACATTTCAATCCAAACATGTGGGTCACTTTCAGGGCATGGTTTGAGCACTGAGGGTGTTCAAGTACCCTTTAAATTTTTTATTTGTCCCAACTTTTCACCCAAATTTTGTATAAGCATCAAGAAATAAAGGGGGCCCAAGTGCACACCTCGGTGTACCTAATCTACAACACATTTAATATTTGATTATTTTAAAAAAATATACAAGGAGGAATCAAAACAAAAATAAATAGGATTTTCATTCTTGATAAACTAGAGCAGGTAGTATTGGACCCATGCTTCTAGTTTGCTGGGATGGAGTCATTAGGAGTGAGGAGAGCAGGCTATTCCACAGTTCCAACCACTTCGTCAGTAATGCTCGTAGTGTCAGATTAACACATCTACCCCTCCACTTATGCAATTTTTTGCTCATGAATGAGTTCAAGTGATAGAAATTTTCCAGAGATTGACTGCACAGTTTGGTTATCAAACATTGAGTACATGTAAGGATGTATATGTTTGCCTGACATAAAGAGTTCAAGGAAAGATGATAATGTACGGAAAATCAGCTAAGTACAAGGAATTCATGGGGTTCGAGACATTTTTGAAGACTATCGACGGGTGAGAGTATCAGAAATTGCAGACCAGGTTAGAATAAGTTATGGGAGCGGTCAAGCGATCATCACGAAGGAGGTACAGTTTCGTAAAGTATGTGAGTTGGGTCCTTCATCTTTTTTAACACAGTTTTGAGTCACATCGTCATCTGCAAGGAAATGTGAGTCCCCAAGTTCAAAAATGCCAGTAAGAAGTGGCAGAGGAGAGGAAGGCAGCCCCAGTGAAAGCCAATGCAGTTAACTATTGTTAGCTGTTCAACAAGTTGAAGGATGCAGATTGCTGCGAAAGACACGATTTGAGAGACCATCTTCCTCCATGACCATGCCAGGTGCCAATCTGCACTTCTAACGGTCTCAAAACTGTAGGTACACATTGGAATCAACTTAAACTTCCTCCTTACAGCCCAGAGGTCTAGATCTGTTGGTATGTGATTTTCATTTGTTTTGACAGCTTAGCAAAGCCATAACAGGATAATAATTTGAAGAAGACAAGAGCATGGAAAGATTCGTGTGCAATTGGCTCCACATCAGGAGTTGCAATTAGATTGCATCAAACCAGCTTCATTCTACGATGATGTGATAAAAGACGTTCCTTGTCACTGGGAAAATTGTATTTCTAAAGGAGGAGATTATATGGAAAAATAAATAACATTTTCATTTTGCTTTAAAAAAAATAAAATCCCATCTACATTTGATTTATCCTTGTATGATTTAGTCACAGACTTATTTAAAATAAATAAAAGAATAAATAAATAAGAAATAACCATTGGTAAAAGCATGTTCAGAGTTCATACCAATAAATGTTAAATCCATATTACCAACTGGAAGGAAAAAAAGGGAGAGAAGAATGCAAAAGAATCAGAAAACCTAGACCAACTTCTTTAGTTGAGCTATTATTAAATAAATAAAGAAAGCTACTTTAAAAAGTATAAATTTCAAATACAGTATTTTTGATACTTACGTGACAAGAGTGTTAATACAAATAAAGGACTGAATATGTCCTTTTCCATCTTTTTCTAAAAATCCATGAGTTTTGAGATAAATATAATCTCCATTCTTACTTTGTAAACGATAACAGCTCCAACCATAGCTTTCATTATGGCTGTACACTAGAAAAAAAAAAAAATGTTTATTCCAGAACATACTGAAAATTTAAACCAAATATCATACGAATAAGGTGAAAAAAGATACAAATTCTCAAGACAAAAAATTAACTTCTAAAATATATTTAGATATTTAAGGTGTGTAGCTTAAGCTAGGAAATGATATTTCAAGGCAGAACTTCTAGTTATGAAAGGATAACTGTCATAACCAGCAGCACCTTCTTGATGTAGATCACTCTAACAAAACATACTTTATGAAATAGAGTTCGAGAGTCAGGATATTTGACCTGGAAAGACTTGATAAAGTTGTCACTTGTGGGGGAGATCAATTTAAAAGTGCTATGTACGAAACACGAACTGCCAAATCCAGCTGCATGAGAATAATCTGAATTAGCACTAAATAATCAAAATCTAAAGTACCATAATCAAGTAAACCAAAAAATTTGGCAAGAGATTGAAAACTATGTCATTTTTCCTTATAACAGATCATGACAAGCCATGATCATAAATAATTTCAGCCACCAATAATTTCAACAAACAGAATAATAGAGAAACAACAAATTTTGGAGTTCAGCCAAGAGTTAGGCAATGTGCATCCTAGGTTTTGCATCTCTAGTGTGAAAGGGGCCTTAAGAATATTTAAAATGACTCTACTCATGCCTTATTTTATTAGAATAAATAATATAGCACACACACACAAAAAAAGGAACACAGCGGTTATATAAGGGCAGTATTGGAATATGTTCTCATCAAGTGGAGCACAGCAGCTCCCTTAAACTTTAAAAAATTCAAATTTGTACGAATAAGGGAGTATCTTAAAAATAAAATAATTGAAATAGAAACTAATAGAATCGAAAATAACGTAAGAGACATGTACAAAGGTATAAACAGATCACGTAAATATGTAGGGCCCGTAACGTCTGGAATTAGGGATGATAATAACAATATTCTGACCGATCCGGTTGACATATTGAATAAGTTTAAGGACCACTTTGACAATATTTTAAATACGGGAAATTATGATCTGTGTCCTCCTTCTGAGTACCAGAGTGCTGAACCGTTAATAGAAGGACCAACTAAAGAGGAAGTTGAAGTAGCTATCGGAAAATTAAAATCATATAAAGCAGCGGGAATCGATAATATTCCTACTGAACTAATTAAGGCATGCGGAGAAGCTGGAGTTTCTAAAATACATCGGTTGGTTAAAAAGATCTGGGTGAACGAGAAATTACCTGAAGAATGGAAAGAATCTATTCTTATTCCGATTCACAAAAAGGGTCCGAGGACGGATTGTAATAACTATCGAGGAATTTCACTCCTTCCGGTATGTTATAAAATATTCACTTTAATCTTAACCAGTCGAATCACGGAATACGCCGAGGAAATTATCGGAGACTACCAATGCGGATTTAGACGGAATCGTTCGACTATTGATCAAATATTTTCTTTACGGCAAATATTAGAGAAAAAATTGGAGTATAACGGTATTGTTCACCAGCTGTATATAGATTTTAAAAAGGCTTACGATTCTATTGACCGCCAGAAATTGTATAATATTCTAATCGAGCAGGGGATTCCAAAAAAACTAGTAAATCTAGTCAGGATGTGCTTGACGAAGACACTCAATAAAGTTAGAATCGGTAATAATTTGTCCGAAAAATTTGAGGTTCGTTCGGGCTTAAAACAGGGGGATTCTCTTTCACCTGTCCTGTTCAATTTGGCATTAGAATATGCCATTAGGGAGGTAATGCGAACCGAGAAAGGGTTGGATCTGGGCGGGACAACATCCGTGCTGGGCTATGCTGATGATCTGGTACTGTTAAGCGAAGACGTTGAAACTATAAAACTGAATACGACAACGTTAATGAAAGCCGGGAAAGAACTAGGACTCGAAATAAACGTGGATAAAACAAAATATATGGTTAGCTGCAAAAATGGCGATACTACGGGTGATATCGATATAGATGGTAATATGTTTGAACAGGTAGATAAATTTAGGTATCTAGGTTCTACGATAACTAGAAAAAACGAAATTGAAGAAGAGATTAAGGTTAGACTGAAGGCGGGGAACGCTTGTTATTTTTCTGTGACAAAACTACTTAGTTCGCGCCTCTTGTCCCGAAACTTAAAAATTAGAATCTATAAAACAATTATCTTACCTACAGTTCTTTATGGATGCGAAACTTGGCCGCTTACATTAAGGGATGAGCAGCGTCTTAAGGTTTTTGAAAATAAAGTATTGCGTAGAATATTCGGACCGAAAAAGGATGAGTTAACCGGAGAGTTCAGACGGATACACAACGCCGAATTGCGTGAGATGTATCCGGGTAATATAATTGAGGTAATTTCATCGCGGCGAATCAAATGGGCTTGTAAAGTTGTTGGGCTTAGTAACGAGAGAATTCCTAAAAGGTTAATATTTGCTGTGCCGAATGGTAAGCGTCCGAGGGGTAGACCGAAGCGAAGATGGGAGGATTGCATTAAAGCCGATCTGAAGGGACTGGGTTTGGACGGCGAACGGTTGAGGGAGGTGTGTAACAAGCGATTGGTGGTGTCGGCATCGAACCTTCGGGTTCGCTAAGCCTTATTATTATTATTATTATTATTATTGTACGAATAAGAGCATTTGAATAATCACATGTGCAATTAAGTCAAACAATATCAAAGCTAGAGAAACCTCCACTGATTCCAAAACACAGAGGACAGAAGGCATTTCCAATTTCTAAACTTAACTCAAAAGCTACTTATGTTGTAGATCACCCTCTCAAAGAAAGTTAAGCAAGGGTATTTGTCCCATTAAAAGATACAAAGCACTTATCACAAGACCAAAAACATACTCATTGAATTAGTAACAAAAAACATAGAAACTGCTGATATAGATCCGTCAAACCTTGATTTGGTCTCCTGAAAAAACAATTCCATAATACCATTATCATTGACATACCTGGACCCTTCTTTAAAGACAGGATGGTCGCTCCTGACGTGAGAGCCATTAGCCACGATCACATTAATTTCAACTACCTAAGCTATGGATGGAGTCATGGGAATATACATTGAATTTCCTGATGGAGATAACGATGAAAAGTCACTCCCTTTCAGATAGCATTTCAACTGTCAGTTGAAGCAAAAAGTCATTATGGATATTGTTTAAAACTTCTATCCCTCTCATCATAAAAGAATAACAAAATAATATTCACTAGGGAAGATAGATAGTCAGGATTTTTAGTTTAAATGTGTTTATCCCTATGTGTAAATTCTTACTAGTTATCCTAGATAATTTTCAAAATCAGTTAACAAAAATCCATCCATAGAAAATAGTATTTTTGACAAATGCAGCATCAGTTTTTATACCACAACAACTAATTGAGAAAAAGCTGCAGTGAATTAGTCTTACAATTAGAAAAACTGAAACACATCTACCAGAAATATGGGTTTTTACCAGTGTACAATATGGTATTAGAAATGATGAGAATGCAGACGAACTGGCTAAGGCTGGGTCCCTTCAATCATAGATGGCCAGCTTTACCCAGATGATGTTAAGACAATAAATTAACAGTCTAAGAAATGGTCCAACTGAGTTATGTATATTAATATCATCTCCCAAGTCTTTGCCCACTGTAAAGAAGTTGGTAACTCACTAGTTTAAACTATTCCGAGTTATACAGGGTGTTTCAGGGTTAAGTGGCAAAACTAAAATATGAATTAAGGACCCCAAAACAAGAAAAAAACTCTGCAAATAATTTCACAATGGTTTATTCTTTCCAAACAATTATACATCTAAAGTAACATTATCTTCCGAGTTACAAAAAAAAAAAAAGGTGATTCCAATTATTGGACTAAACTTTTTTTCTTTGATCATTAGTAATATGCTAAAAAAAAAAAATAGCATTAGTTCAGTAACACATTCAAAATTTAAAAACCAAACCAAGGATATAACATTTGGAGTAGAACATATAAAAAAAAATCGGAGACCATATCTTTGCTCCTAATTGTCCGATTTTAACGATTTTTTAAAGAAATTTCGTAAACTTTTAAAAAGCCATCCATATACAATATTGACATAAATGTGTACACTTCTTGAGTTATTCGGAATTTAATTTTACCATCCCTCGTAACTTTTTTTCCAGCTTCTTTTCGTTGAAGTATGTTATATAGATAAATTTAAAGGGTATCGAGAAAATGACTTTAGGAAATTTCATTGAAATCTGTACATTCATTTAGGAGCTACAGTCTATAGCAACGCAGGTTTTTCGGCCACCATTTTGAAAGTAAAAGGCGGAGAGTAATGTTGATGAAGTTGTATCAACCTCGGGTGACCTCTGATTTTATATATAAATTTGAAAAAAAAATCGGTCCAGTAGTGTATAGTAGTTTTTTCGGAGAAAAAATAAAAAATTTTTATTCGTTTTTCGAATTCTACGCGTCCTGAAACGTGAAACCTCAAATTTCGAGAGGGGGTTAAGTTTTTTAATTTTTTGGTCGATCACAATGGTTGATTATTGAAAATAATAAACCAAAAATTGCTACAAAGGTATGTCCGCAAACGCTTTGTTTAGGAGATATTCACAAAGATTTTCATTGTTATGAATTATTTGCGTTATATTATGTAAATAAAACTTATTTCTTTGTTCCAACTACTTTATTAATTAAAGTTAAACATTAAATTCATATTAAATGTTGTTCAAAGTGATTTCCTTGAACATCAAGACAGGCTCAGCATATTTCTTCAGCAGCAGCAGTGGCAGAATGGCACTGAATATGTGTTATTATTTTACAAGATTATCAATTATCCTTTGTCGTAAGGAATTAAGGTCATTGACCGGACTTGCCTAAACTTTTTGTTTAACGTCACCTCCAACAAAAAAATCCAGTGGTGTCAGTCTGGAGAGCATGCAGGCCAAGCCACTGGTCCTGCACGGCCAATTTATCTCCTAAACAAAGCGTTTGCGGATGTACCTTCAATTTGAACAACATTATGAATGTTAATGTTTACATTTAATTAATAAAATAGTTAAAACAAGTAAAATAAAATAGTTAAAAAACAAGGTTTTATTTCTTTCATATAATATAAATAATTCATAACAACGGAAATCTTTAGGTGTGATATATCTCCTAAACAACACGTTTGCGGACATATACCTTCAGGGGAAATTATTTTCTTGTTTTGAGGCCACTTAATCCTGAAACATCCTGTATAGTTATCAGCTTGTTCACAGTGTGGGGGGATGACTTAAGAGATTATTATAATATGCATATCTCAAGTGACAATTTTTTGACTTGTCAAATTATTCACTGTGACCATAAAAATAAGGCTGCTATAAGAAAAAGATGGAGCACCAAACTTCCTCATGGCAGCCCTCAAGATCTTACTATAGGCTAAACAGAAAGGAACGAGTTATAATATTTAGATTTCAGCCTAAATGGAATAGATTAAATGGCCATATTTACAAAGAAATCAAAATAGAAAACAATCCCATGAGAAAAAATAGAAAAGGGAAACAAACAACCGAGCAAATCCTTCAGAGTAGTATCCATCTTGAAGATTGAAGACAGACTAGGCTAAAACCAAAAACACTGAAAAACAAACTCTATTGGACAAACAAGAACCTCAGGAGAACTCCTGACTTCCTAGTTTTAACACCGGACATGAAAATTTCTATTTAATATATATTTTCAATTAGATGTTAATAGACATTAGAGGTGTTAATCATTGAAAACCACAACAAATAATAAAATTCGGCTAATTTTTGCCTTTCAGAACGCTAAGCAATCTGCCATATACAAACAGAAAAAAAATCCAAATTATATTTCACAGGTAATAAGAATTTAGATTTCCTTTTTATATTAAAAATATATTGAGAAAAATAATTTTTATAAATTCACTTACTTTTTCTTAGCGCAATCATTACCCACCGTACATCATCTTGATGCATATAGGTAAAAGCAAGATTTCCCGTAACTTCTTCTGACAAATATCCAGATAAGTATGAAATCCTAAAAATGAAAATTACCTCCAAGTTGAGTAAGGATTTACAATATGTTAAAACCATTAAGAGGAAATTATCCATTATTAAAAGCAATACCTATGATCAGAAAAGATGATAGTTCCATCCAACAAATGCCGAGTAACCCATTCTTCTTTCAAAGCTTCAAATAGAGAATTGTCGTTAACATTCCTCTGCTTATGACTTCTCACAAAAGCAACAAATACAGATTCATTTGTAATAACTCCATTCTCATCTGTAATTAAAATAAATATTATAATAAATGTTTTCAAGAATCAATGATAATTTTCAATAAAATTATGATTAAAAAATACAAAACCCTTTCTAGTCTGTAACATTCAGAAATCAAAGACATGACATGTCCCAGGCTCAGTAGTTGACACCAATCACTTCACTACACTATGATAACAAAGCATCAAGTGCCGTGTTTTTATACGGAATAATAATATTATTATTATTAAGAAGTTGGGGGGGGAGCAGTCATAGATGAAGTAGCAAACAGATAATTAACATTATTTTATTTTAAACCGTCATTTTGGCCTAAGCTTTAGACCTTTGTTGAGGAGAATGCATTAGAATCCTAAAGGAAGTGCTTGTCTTGCATGTGAATCAATCATACACACACACACAGTGTAAATTTCTTTAATAATTTTATTATAACATTTATATTCATTAAATAAAATATATGTAAATTTTGCGATGTTTAATAACTTAAGTTACGTTACCTAAACTTACTTATGTTACGGTAACTTCTGCAAGTAAATGGCTTGTTTGTTGTGGAGTGGGTCATATCTATATTTGAATGGGTATACTTATTATCAACAATATATTAAAATTCAACAACTTAAATGAGTTAAACCAAGAGCTTAAAAGAGTTAAACCGAGAAGGAAAAAATGAAACAGTATTTCGAGAATCTTGAACTGGTTTGGAAGTCTTGTGTTTCCTTTTCTCCCTCCTCCCACCCCTAGAACTTAATAAACTTTGAGAAAACCTTTCCAACGATTCGAAAGTTTTTATTTTATTATTAGTAAGTGTTTCATGCTTATTTGGAAATCTTCACCTAAGCAGATAGCCTCAAAGTCCCATTTTAGGTGGCCAAAAACCATAGCAAAATATAAAATTTCTTTGAGTAGGATAATCCGTATAATAGTCCCGGATTTTCAAAAGACTAATCCATAAAAATTAATATGGTTGGTCGATTAGTGCTTTAGAGAATAGGATTATAACTTTATTGTATATTCTGATAAAATTATTTTTGGCATTTAAATTTGAAATGCATCAATATCATTGGTTCCAGTTATCATTGATACTGTTCGAACTTAGCCAACTAAGGCGATACGAGAATTCAATAAAATTTCTGTCATTGTAAGATAAAGTAAACCAGGGGTGCCGAGAAGGAGGTAGCAGCCACCATCATAACTTTTGAGGGAGCACACTTTGATGGGATTGTGGATTTTATGGAACCATATTTTTGTGGAGTTTCAATTTGGGAGGAACTTTTAAATCAGTGAACAAGGAAAATACTTGGAAGAGAGCACTAAAAGTGCAATTTTATATGACCTACAATATTTCTAATTGTACTCTCAATTGCACTGTTTTTAGGGAGAGGAGAGTAATACAATTTCTTGGGAGGAAGGGGAATGTAACATAGATCTTTGGGGGGAGGGATGAGTACTCCGGCTATTTTCCATTTCATGGAAGTAATTCCAAAGAAAGCTTGTAGTATAATTTATGTATATATATATATATATATATATATATATATATATATATATATATATACACATATTATTCAAATCAAGTTGATGATTGTCTAAACAAGATAAAAAAAACATGTAGCCATAATTGTAACAAAAAAATTATTAAACCACAATCGTAACAAACCCCGATTAGTTAGATACATTATGGGATTCAGTTTTCATGTATTTTACATATATATAAACTGTATATGTATATATATGTTTGATCCAAAATATCATTTTCTGTTAATTATCACTAATTTTAAATTTTAATTAAAATTTTATCACTAAGAGAAAAAATAAATAGGACCTAAATTTATATGTAGTGATCTCAATCAAGCAACTTTGTTTTTAGTAAAGATCGTTGAGACTTAAATTAAAATATAATAGGTTTTGAAATTAACAGTAATGACTAATCAGATTGGAATAAACATATTAAGTTTATTCAAGATATTAGTCTAACATGATTAGTATTATTATAGCATGAAGTTAATTTTGATGTAAATTGTGAAATTTAACCACCAACATGTCTACATAATTAACAATAATAATTTATTAATGAATACCGTATTTCCATTAATTTAAGTAAATACGCTAAGTTAATTCAAGTTATTAGTCTAACATAAGTAATATTCTTATTACTAAAGCCTGAGGTTAATTTTTATGTAAATTATGAAATCTAAATGAAAACTGTCTCCTAGTTTGGATTTCATAATTAGGTAACACTTGGATTGAATTAACATTTTAGTTTTGTAGCAAAATACAATGAAGGATTGTAAAGATTAAATCAACGGATACAGAAGATTTCCATTTGTGGTTTGGACATCAAATTGAATCGCAAATAATTTGCGATGAACCTCTCCCAAAAAAGTCTCGGGAGTTATATTAAGGATAAAAACTATGAGTGATAATTAACATAATCAGCATAATTATTGTAAAACAAACAATATAATAGTACATCGTACATAGTATGACGTCATTACTCGAGGGGGGAAGGAGTCGCCGAATGTCTAAGGCCGGCACTGGTTTTGCGATAAATGAATGAATCATAAAATCTTAGGATATGATGCTACATATAATTATCTTTAAATATAAACTAAAATTTCAATAATAGGAACATAGGGCGTGGTAAAATACTATCCGTAACTATTTCTAGGTCTTAGCTTAGTAGGCTAGTCGCTAGTCGCTAGTCGACTTTTCCTCTTTCCTCAATTAATTTTAGTTTACATATTGTATTCATACATGCAGATTAATTGTTATTGATTTTATTTTTGTTCCTCAAATATTGGGAGGGGCGAAATGATAATCACTTCCCCTTTATATTTTATTAGATGGATGCGAAAATGGTTTGTAAAAAGAATACATAGATTGGCCAAAAAGTCGGAATTTAGAATCATCCTATGTTCTTAGTAAAAGCGAAGAATATATTAAAAAAAAAAAAAAAAATGAAGAAGGGCTAAGGATGAGCTTCTCCTTACAATGACAGATCAAGTAACGCAAAGATGGGAGGGACAGATAATTCGGTAAATAGCTAAAGTCTGCATATTATGAAGGCGACAAATAATATCTGTATGATAGTGATCGGATGATAAAACTGAAGAAAAAAGTACCCGTGCAGGCTTCATCGCTAAAATTAGAAATCATAAAACCCCAGGAACAGATGATATCAAGGCGAAGCTATTAAAAGGCTCGGCTGGCCGATGGAATATGACAAGAAAGGATTCGAGAGAACTGGAAGGAGGTATTAGATGTCACAGCGCTAAAAGAAAGTGAATCCAACTGAGTGCAACAATAGAGGAGTAGTCTGGTACACTACCTGCAAACCAAGGTTTCCCTAATAACATGTCAACCATAAATCAGTATCAAATGAAATTTTAAATCTCAAACAACTGGGATAACGATGTATGAATTCCTCTTTAGTCGATGAATACTTTGTGTAGATTTAAGAAAGCGTTCGATTCGATAATCAGGGACCATTGCACAAAAGATGTAGGTGTATTTGACTAACCAAATGCACTAAGATAAAAAATAATGTATTGGCAGTTTAATAGGTAAAGTCATTACGCAATATTTTAAAGAATGACATCACAAAATAATGTGATGAATTTTCCATAAACATTGTGCATTTAGAATAACTATTTTTGATATATAATTGGATTTGTGTTATTTTGATGACCGTAACGAATTTTCGCTCTGATAAATATGATAAGTGGTATTATGAACGACAAATCCTAAGTGACATTGGGCTTGTTAGACTTATTTTTGGATAAATAAAATTAATATAAAATTTTAGTACGTCCGTCGGAATTTACGTATAACACTTCAATGCTAATAGTTCTATACATAAAAATGTTGGTCTGAATTTGTTCTATAAAAAATAAAAATTGGTTCTAAATTTATAAAAAGCGGTAAAGCATCTAGGTTTTTTATCCACTGTCATTTCATTGCAGGCCACTGGCGGATCCCCATGGAGGTAGGAAAGGAATTTCGGGCGGATTCACTACTTAAAATTGAAAAATAATTTTTTTTTTATTGGTCCATATTTTTTTTTTTTCTGCGAATGATCTGAGCCAAATTCTTAAACAATTACAATACGTACTATTTTTAAATTAAAAAGCATAAACAGGAAAGGATTATTGTTCCTGTAATTATCTGTTTTTTCAATTATATTTTTTATTTATCAGAACAGGTCTCAATATAGGCATAAAACATAATTTAATACATGAAAAAGTCAATTAATTAATAATCAAATAATTGACAAAAATACACTTTTTTTGTAACCTAATGAAAGATGAAAATCATAAATCATTGTATATAGTTACTTCCTTTTTCTGCCAGTTATTAATGTTAAATATATATATATATATATATATATATATATATATATATATACATACATACATATATAAAAGCCTACTAATTAAATTTTGAATCCGCTACTGTAACAGGCTGATATTGCTTTAAAGCGTTATTTTCGTGAAATCGCGTTTTCAGCGTTACATACAGGAAACACTGGATATGCACTATTTTATTTTTAAGTTGCTTGATGTTAAACCCCAAAATTTCATACATCTTTACCGGATTCCCACTACCAATTGATGACGAACATTTGTTTTTTATAGATTAAAATTTATTTTTCGACCAACTCCAGTCGATACAATAAGAATATGGAATATCCATTAAGGTCATTTGTCCGGATGATATTGATTGGCCAGTTATGGAAGATGGAGAGATAAAATGCAATATGGGACCGCCCCGGTTGCCCTGGTAACCTCCCCCCACTCTTTCCTCTTTTATCACAATCATCTTTCTCCGCTGCTCCCTTCGCTGTCAAATCTACGACCTGTTGCCACTCCATTCCGGGAGTAGATTCCCATAATACAGTTGATTATATTCATACATCCAGCTGACAAGGTGTCGTCTACAGGATTTATAATAACTTAGAATATTAAATGTTCAAAGTAAAGGGCGGATTGGCAGAGCGGGCTAATGCGT